CCTTTACTCTTTTTTCTATCTGCAATTTTTTGAATTTGCTTTTCTATAACAATGCTGGCTTTTTATAAATTGAGTCAACATTTTTGAATTTCATTTTTTGTCCCTTTATTACTTAGTTTCTTTCAACTGATTTCAAAGTCATATATTCTTCCTTTTATCTTTAGACTTTATTCTTCAATATTTTTTACATGCTACAGTTATTATCTCTGCTTTCCTCTTAAATAATGCTATGATCTTACAGTAATTTTACTTAATCACACCTCTTTCATATTCCTTATATTTTCTACTGGTTAGTTCCAACTTATTCTTAACCTTTCCAAAATTATTACTATTACTATTATTATTGCAAATGATATCTATTTATATTTACCTCAATAATTGCCAATTATTTTTTTATTATTGTTCCTTATATATTTCTCCATATTTTGGTGTTCACTCCCTTCTCATTGAATATACCTTTTATAATTCTTTCAGTAAAGGTCTCTAAGTGTTCTTAGTCAAAATGGTTTTGAATGGTAATTTAGATAGTATTCATACTTTTACCTCTTTTGTTATTTTTCCCTCAGCATTTTCATACTTTTGGTCCATTATGTAGTTTTCTTTAATTTCTCAGTGGCAATCCCTTTATAGGAAATTTGCTTGTCTAAGTATGGATATGTCTGAATGTAGATTTATTTTAATTTTCCTGCTCATGATTAACTGGACTTATTTCTCAGGATTCTTGTATGCTATCCATTGTAAAAATTTCAGGACTTTTTTGGGCAACATATTCTCCATTATCTTCCCATCTGAAAATTGAATTATTTATATATTGGACTTTTTTCTTTCTTTCTTTCCTCTATGTTTCTTAACATATCTTTCATATTTTTCACGTGTTTATCTCTCCATCTTAAATTTTAAGTAAATTCTTCAGATTTATCTGTATCTAATTTATTGTTCAACTTCACATTAAAATTTTAACCAACTATTTCTAGAAGTTTTGATTCTTTTTCAACTCTGCCTGCTTATTTTTCACAATATCCTTTCCTTTCATTCTGACCTCTAATCATATTTTTAAAATTTTTTCATCATTTTTAAATTTTAAAAAATGTATATATTTTACGGTCTTTTCAAGATTGTTCTGTTACCCAAAATCTGAGGTCATGCTAACCCTCTTGTCTGATTTGTCTGCCGACTCTTACTGAAGAAGATAATGCTCTCATTCACTTCTAAGTTTTATGGGCTTATTGTCAGTTTTGTAAAAGTATTAAATTCGCTGCCCCCCCAACCCACCCCACCCTGTGGAGTCCTGTTTGCCCTGAGTATAGAATTCTTTCCTACAAGCATTGTTATTTTCTTTCTACCAGTTACCTCAAGAAGGTTATTGGTCTGGAACCAGATTTTTTTTTTCCCAATTACTTTCTCAGTTCTAAATTCCTGCCATGCAGGATATAAATTTGAATACTATAACTGCACATGTATAAGCTTGGAGCTTCAATTTCTCAATTTTTCGTAATAGGTGCTTTTTGTTGTTGTTCTGTTTTTTGTTTTTTTAATATCTACACCCCTAAGCAAAGATATATTTTCTTAATTTTCTTGGACCAGTAGGAGGAGTCTGTTTATTGCCTCTTATACAGATGGGCTGATCCTTCCCAGGTGATGGGTCAATTGGGTCTCAGTTCTCATCTACATCTCCTGGCTCCATGTGACATTATAATCTCAGCCAATGACTAAACAGTTATCTATATGAATCCTATATCTCTCACACAAATACCCTTTTTGAATATGACCTTCCACTTGTTTCTGGCTATAAGTTTCCACTTCAAATCCATTTGAATTCACTTAATCATCCTGCTGAAGCCATAAGAGCCAGAGTGATCTTTGAAAATATTAATGACAAAACATCATTCCATTATTTAAAATTATTAAAGAGTTTCTCGTTGCACTTAGAAAATGTAATCGGCTTCTCTTGGTCTGTAGAATCTTTCTTAATCAGGTCATGCCCATATTTCCAAAATCATCTCCTGGATCTTTCCCTGGCTTATTCAGTATGCTCTAACAACATTGGTTTGCTTTCTTTTTATGAATACTTCAAGTTCCCTTTCCTAAAAACAGTTTTTCCACAGGATCCCACCCTTCAGTGATCTCTGACCAACCAGACTCTCTATCACATCAACATGTTTGTTTCCTTCCCAGTATTTGACACAATCTGTAATTATTTTGTTCATTTACTAATTCATTTATTTTATGCCTCCTCCAAATAAAGTGTATGCTCCATGGGGAAAGCACCTTTGTCTCGGTCATTACTCTATCCTCAGCATCTAGCACAGTGCCTGGTACACAGCATGTAGTGAGTAAATATATCTTCAATAAATGAGGATGGAAATAATGTTAAAATCTTCCAGGTCAACTTCCCGCTTTTACAAAATGTAAAATGAGCTGGCAAAGTTGCTGAGAAAGGTTCAAGAAGTTGCCCAAGATCACAAATGTGTCATGAGATACCTAAAACAGTACTCAGGCCTCCTCGCTCCCCTGAGCTATGTCCCCACTGGTGACAGAAGACCTATGCTAGGAACTTGGGAAGATGATGGGCAGGCTATAGGATGACCCATGACCTCCCTCACACTTAAGTGATGAATTTTGAGGAATATATACAGATATGAAATTTTCTGAGGAGGAAGTCTAAAGCTTTTATCCAATTTCCAAAAGGGGCAAATGATAAAAAAAAAAAATTTAAAAACTACTGGCCCACATGTTGTTTACGAACTGCAAGTTGCTCCCATGTTTTCTGTCGTTGTCATATCAGTTCTTCTATTAATAAGAACTGAACAATCATTATGAATTAAGTATCTATTATATTGCCAAAGGATCTAGTGTTCTGACTGGTATTGAAATGTTGTCATCTATAGATAAAGGGTTTGGTTCTGAAGTTATATAACAACTTGGGGTACTCTGCCAACTTTACTTATTCATACTGGCAGTATAAGAGCTCACACATTGGCTATAGTTGCATATACCTCAATATTTCTTTATTTCTTTAGCCATAATCCTAGTACTCATTCCAATAAAATACTGAAGAATAAATAATTTCTCATTCTAATTTCTCTGCTGTGTTGGAAATGAGATCATTTGTGGATAAGGTTTGACTCTGGAGAACTGAGTTTGAGATGCTAAACAGATTGGTCAATATGTATACAGAAGTGGATTTGGGGATTTTGAATATTCATAGGGCTCCTCCATACTTTCTCAGAAATATTTTGCTTCCACTAGACCTGCTTCATGTGTAAAATGGCCTGGACAATGGGGAGAAAGAGTATTGTCTTTGCAGTAGGTGTCGGTAGCATGTCTTCCCAGCCCATGAACCGTACTCCCTTCCTTCCCCCAGGACCAGTCCTCCATTCAGAGGCTCCCAGCTCCTCAGCCATTGATAGCGGCATAGAGTGGCCAAAGCTGAGCCCACTATCTACTTTCCTTTAGAAATTAGGACTTGAGATTCAGATACAGGCCAGTTAAATCTCTCTCATGCACCTATAACTCCACCTATAAATTTGGAATTGCAGGAAAATATATTTTAACACTTATATGTAAAGAGAGAAAGATGATGATGGCAGGTAAGCTTAAAAAAGAAAAAAAAAATTATTCCCTTGGCCTCTAACAACTTTCTTACAATTACTTTTTCCACATAGATTAACTTGATTTCATTACAACCTAAGCTTAACTAATACAAAATTTTATACCTTGTGAATGAACTTTTTTTTTGTTTTGTTTTCTTCATTTTATTTGTGTGCTTGGAGGCACAGTGTGTGTAACGGCTGGAGTCAAATAAAACAGGTTTACATGATGATTTGATCACTTACTAGTTAAGCACAATACTTTAGACATGTGTTGTTTATCTGAAAGTCACATTTAACTGGATATATTTTATCTGGCAACCCTATTTGCGACATTGTTTCTTCCTTTGTAAAAAAAGAGGTAATAATACCAAATCAGCAAACATGTTGCTAAAAATGTGAAGGATATAATCAACATTATGTAAAACAATTTATGAATTTATGAGAACCATGGTTTATTTTTTCTTTCTTCTTCCCTTCTACCTATATGGTATCTATGACCCGAGGAGACATTGCTTACAAAGCTCATCATTATCCGATCGCCAGTTGGGAGTAGATGCTTTCTGGAGGTGCTCAACTTTTGTTTCCTGTGTTAAATACCAAGACGAAACGACTTAAGTAAAAGTGGAGGTTTACAGAGCAGTGGGTTGGCTCCTTTTGGAATATGGGGAAATGTTTCACACCTTTTATGCGATATGTCTTTATTCCTGAATTAGAACATTTGGAAGGTTATATATTTCAATCTACTTGACCTCATCCTGGCACTCCATTCCAAGATACCTTAATATTCATTCTTGGGCTAGGCATATACTTAGGTCTCAGTTTTACACCATTTGGTTTCTAGTTCAAACTGGCACCTCCCTGTCTGGTCTTTCTCACCTCTGAGAGAGAGAGAGAGAGAGAGAGAGAGGGAGAGAGAGAGAGATGAAGAAAGAAAAAGCCTGAGAGGAAAAAGAGAAGGAAATACTACATTATTTCCTATTTACTTGTTTGAGGAGAAAGAATGTGAGATTCCTGATCTGGGGGCTCTTTATTTCTTGTCTCCTGTGTCTAAGTCCTTCTCATATTTATTTTGATGACTCCTGTTCTCTGACTGGGAGAGCCCAGAAGTGCTGGAGGACTCCTTTAACAACAGCTCAAACCAACACGTTTTCTTCTCAAGGGACACAGAGCAATGAACTTTCCCTGCAGAAGCATTTTTAAAAATCATGTATTTCTTTATTTATGACACCAGGCCCAGTGGGATTGGATCAGCACTTTCTTCTCAAATAGTGTGGGCTTGCCCATCAACCACGGAGCAGTGGGCATGGCAATGGCATGCTTTGAGTTTTGTTTTCCTTCTTCAAAGTCACCATCTCTTGAGATGCCTGTGGCTAGTGAGCTAGGAGCTTGTGGGGAGTATCAGCAGGTCTAGTTTGAATATGCGCTGCTAGTCCCCTCAGAGGGCTTCTTCACGTTTTCCTTTCCTGGATATATCTGGGGTGACAGTTTACCACTCTGAGACAAAAAGGGTCGCTCAGGATTACCAATGGGGCTAGTTTTTGGCTCCAATAAATGGACTGATGTGTTTGACGACTGTGTTGACCTCTGGCCAACTGGGTCATCAGAGGGAAGATAACTTATGACTGCAGATGTCTCCGATGTCTGTGACTCTTTATTTATGTTTTCATAAGGGCCTTGATATAAAGAATTATCCTTCTCGCAATAAGACATGTTGAAAGGAATGGCACAAAACACAAGATCTGAGGGCAGCAGCTTAAACGCATTGGCTGGCCGGGTAATCACAAACCTGTAAGAAAAGACAAAGCTGAGTCTGAGCCTCTGCAGCTGGGACAGTGTGGCAACAGGCAATGGTCAAAGTGGGGCAGTCATTTGGCTGGGCCCAAAGAGGAAATGCTTTTGTTTCGCTTTGCTTCATCGCTTTTTTGTGACCGACAAACATGTCTGGCACAGTAGAAGAGGTCCTAGACTAGAAACTGGAAGACTAGGTGTTGTCCCTGCCTCTCGCACTAACCATCCTCATACACGGCATCTCCCTTCTCTGGGCCTTGCTTTTCTCATTCTTTTAAAGGGAGAGGGATAGGGCTGTGGTTTGGGCTGATAGATCTCTAAAGGCCTTTCTGACTCCAGGCTTCTTTGCTTTTAATATTCACAATGCTGAGCACTGAGCCAAGCTTTATCAAAAGTGGAAGATTACATGCGCTCCAGATATTTCCATCCTGGCTTAGGCCTACCCCAATGCTTACGCCACCAACTTAGAATGTAGTTTGATCAATGAGGAAAAGAAACAAAAATTAAACTAAAGTTGTATTTGAAACCTCGACTGGTAAGTAAATAGTGTTGATGAGTCTTAAAGAACACCCGGAGCCTGGACCTCCGTGGAAAAAATGTAGGGAGGCAGGATGCTTTACACAGTATCAGGCACAGAGCAGTAATCTTCAATAAACCAGAGTTACATTAATTAATACGCCAGTGCTCATGTCGGAACGCTCAGACAGGATAACCTTTCATCACTTCTGTCCAGACGATCACCTCTTTTCCTAAACAACGATCTCAATTCAACGTCGACTTTCTTTTACCAAAAATTTTCCCACTTTTATCTTTCCCAGAGTGCCCTGTAACCTCTATAAAATCCTAAACAAGGTCAACTATAATCACACACTCTCTTTAAAACAGAAATCTCATGTCCTTCCCTGAGGTCCTCTCAAGTATGGGCTGCACATTCTCCCAATTACCACGTTCCATAGATTTTCCAGAGGTGTCAGAGGAGGGGATGGAGTTCAGGAAGAAAGAGGGATAGGAATAGGGATAGGGAGAGAGAGAAAGAGAGAGACAGAGACAGAGACAGAGACAGAGAGAGAAGCATCATCCATTCTCCCCAGTGCTGCTTCCAGAACACCACTCCTCCCACCATCTCACCATCTTCGTGGTTAGTGCTCTACAGTCCTATCACCCTCCCTCTTGATTGGTTGGCGTCATCTATGGCCCTTCATGTATATTTAAGCCTTTGGCACTTGGGATACCTTTTCTTTCAGACTCTAGTGCCCCCGCCATCTTTAAGTACATTCAGTGTCTCTGTGGTTTACAAATCCAACATCCAGACACATTTCTTTGATTTCTACTACCCAGTGATCTTTATCTCCAAGCACCCTTTCCTGGCCACGTGCCGAATATTGTAATTTCCCGACCTGTCTCTCCTCTAAGCTCCTATGCTTTGATAGATCACTGTCCAACAGTTTCCTGTCCCTCCCTCTCTCATTCCCCTACGCTGAGTACATCTGCTCTTTAACTTCACCAGGACTTCCAATCCTTTGTGCTTTCACATCACAGTCTAGAATCGCTCCTGCACACCCCAGCAAACCTCCTCTCCCAGTCCTTTCAGTAGTTAAACTCTTTCGTTTTTCTCAACTCCCTGTAACACTTCCCCCTCCAACTTTTCTCTTAGCAGTGGCTATCTCTGTACTTCACTGAGAAATCCTGGTGTTACATAAAAATTCCCTTAAGCACACCTCCTCCCCTATAGCTGTATCTGCTTGGCATCCATCTTTCCTTTCATGTCTCCTACGAGCAGAGAGATTATCTTTCCTCTGATTCAAGACTACCCCATTTTGAGTAATTTGGCTTTTTCCCCCTTCCTCCTGGACCAGGTCCTAGCAATGTCTTTCCTATTATTTTTATCTCTCCTCCTCTGACTCCTGTCCATTCCCACTGTGTGAACCTTAGCTGCAACCTACATTGCTGTGTTGTTTGAATACTGTACCCTCTCCTCCCACTCTCTACATACCCTTCCAGCATCTTCCCCACTGCTGCCACATTGATCTTTCTTTAAACTTAAATTTAGATATATAACTCCCATCATTTATATGGACAAAGCACAGTGGCTAGAAATGAGGCACTCAGTGAGTATTTACCCAAGGAATCCAGCACAAACCAAGTAAATCTTTCCAATGTGAATAGTGCCATTTAGCTTTAAAAAGTTACGCAGACAAGGGTGGGCTAAGTTACAAAAAACCACAGAAAAACAAAAATACCACAAAACACCCCCCCCCCAAAAAAAAAACAACAACACACAACCCTGATTCAAAACCTGGGTCTACATTTCAGTTTTCATTGGGGACAGAGACACCATTGTTTCATGGCTTATATTGGGTCACAATTACCAGGGGTTATTCATGTCATTTACATGCATTCCTCCATATTCCTACATCATTTTCTACTTCTTTGCAACCGGGGCCCTGGGTCCTGGACCTCTCTTTCACATAGAACAGAGTAGCTTTGGATCTTATGCTGGGATCGGTGGCTAGCACTTTCCAAGCCAGCATACTCCCCTTTTTTGCTCCTGGTTGAGCTCCTCGTTTTCCATCATGCGGTATAAACCAAGGCACAGGATTCCAAAGTAATCCAATAAGCCACAGAAAACTTGCCCAAAGGTCTTTTTTGGCTAGGGAGAGAAGAGAAAAACATAGGTCTGTTGGCACTTGAACCAAGAAATGACAAGCACTTACTGGAGTGTTATTTGCCTTTGCTTATAGGAGTTTGGAAGACCTTAACATCATCTCCTAAGATCTTTATGGTGGCAGTGTCAAGTGGCTGGGAGGTGAGGCTTATGGTTAGTTCTGAGCATCTAATCCCAGTGATTGTGTTCATCGCTCTGGTCTTTCAAGAGCCTCTGGTGGGTGTGGTGCGTCATGACCTCGTGCTGGTCCTCAGTACCACTGCCATTTTGGTAACCATTAAGAAGCAACAATGAACAGCAGGTTGGAACATTCCATTTTCAGGGTATATAAATAGTTGGGATGTTAAGTGAGCCCCAGAGAGTGATCTAACCCCACTCTACAACAGATTACAGCCCCAAGCACTCCTCGACACTGCTCTCAGACTATAGCCAACAGAAGCTCTGCAAGTGGGCAACAGGTTCAAAAGCAGCCACTGATGGGTTCAGTGAAGTCAAAAGAGAGCAGTCTTTTCAGCCCTGTGGGGGACTCCCCAGGGTAAAGAACAGGGTGAGGACAAGACCTAAGTGGAGAAGGAAAGGAGAAGTGTGTTGACCAGCCCACTGTCATCTCTGATACCAACAGGAAATTGCCAGTGGCTGTTGTTCTGGGCATATCATCATTCACAAGTCAACCTCAGGTGAGGGGCCCAGGACCACAAAAGGACGAAGGACCGGACCATACTGGGGGAGCTCTAGAATGTTGTTTGCACCTGGAAGTCAGATGCACAGAACATGGGGCTTGCCCTTTTGTCCTTATCTATTGAGACATACCAGGCACAGAGGCCAGGAAGAGCCTGCCCCTTGTGAAGGGGGTTCTGCTGATGGCCTCTGAACCAACAAATGATGTTCTCTTACAATAGCTTGCTCTTACGATTACACTGGAGAACTGAATGCAATGTTAATGCAAACTAAACCAAGAAGCACCACACAGATAAGTAGATTACTCACCCCAGGCTGGACTCTACTCTGATCCTCAGATGCCCAGATGCTCCACTGGAGTCTGTCAGGATGGCTATCTTCTCCCTGGCTAGAATCTACTGTTCACTAGCTCAGTGGGCTAAGGACATTCAAGCATTTCCCACTGGCTAGCACAGTCAGTATATTAGACCCAAACACAGAATCCTTCTGCCTGATTGCAGCTGACCAGATTTCTTTAGTGCTTCAGGTACAGGGAGAGTGGGCAGACCTGGCTCAGGTTGCCTTAGAGGCACCCCTGCTTTGCCACTGGTAGACAAAGTGGTCTCAGGTTAGCGCTTGTTTCTTTGGGCCTTAGCTTCTTGATCTACTTAGTAGGGTTAATAACAAGGTCTACCATGCAAATCATTGGACAGATGAAGTGTAGCGGCGGGATAGACAGGCACAGGGGAAATGCTCAATAAATAGTACCTGGTACAATTATTATTGATACCCTTCTCAAAGTACAAGTTATTGGACCTCTCTTATACTTCCTGTAGACTTGGGATTTTAACCTGGAAGATGGGGACAATAACAACTTCTTTATCTACCTTCTGGCATTGATAAAACAAATACAAGCGTGAAAATGCACTGCAAAGTGTAGAATACTCTAAGAATATGAGTTGTATTAATTTGTTATTATTATTGTTATATATTATTGTTATTATTTCTGTGCTATAGGCCATCTAGGAACCCAAATAGCCTGGACCATTTTCAGAAACTCAGAGATGAAAGGAAGCGGGAAACTCTATCAAGAGTAGACTCACTTTAATGTCCAACAGAATGGCTTGGTTTAAGGACAGAAGCCCCAGCTTACAGCGCTTTCTTCTGGACAAAACTGTAATGCTGCTGTGACTCAGCCCACAGAACTTATCCTTGTCCAAATTCTGTTCCATCTGAAAACTTATCCCTCCTGTCACCAGCATCTGAAGTAATTCCAGGACATGATAATTGTAGAAGGCCTGGAAAGCAAGGACAGGCCATGTGTTGTCAGATTTGCATAGTCTTGGAGATTTTGTGCATATCACTGAAATGGATCTGGTGGTGCAAAGCAGTGACTCTCATTATCATTAATAAATTTAACTAAATCTGGCAGTTTGGATAAGGCGCTGGGTTAGGCAAAGTGCAGAGAATATAACATTGACCTAGTCCTGGCTCTCCTGGGGGTTACACTATAACGAAGAAAGACATGGGTAATTATACTGATACCAAGTATGTCCCCTCTTCCAAAAATGACCAGAGGAGCATGTCAGGCCACAGATGCCCTAGTAATCATCTTCATATATTTCAAAATATATATTGAGACTTCTGTAGGTTTTTCTTTAGGGGACTACTGATATTGTCATCCATACTTGAATCCTTTGGATGTGAATCTTCTTATATTCATTTTGACTGTGACCTACTGAGGACAGGCAGTGACTTAGGTCTTAGCACTATTTAGGTCCCCCATAGCTGATATCATGTACTTCATAAATTGTAGCTATTGAATGAATGGAACTTTAAAATCTTTGGCATCAAAATGAAACAAAAGGAAGACATGTGGGCCAACTGCTTTTTTTTTTTTTTTTTAATATGTTTTTATTGATTTTAGAGAGAGAAAGGAAGGGAGAGGGAAAGAGAGAAACACTGATAAGAAAGAAACATCTATCGGCTGCCTCCTGCATGTCCCCTATTGGGGATTGAGCCCAAAACCCGGGCATGTGCCCTGACCAGAAATTGAACTGGCAATGTCTTACTGCATGGGACGATGCTTAACCAACTTAGCCACACTGGCCAGGGTGTGGGCCAACTTCTTATTTTGAAATTACCTTGAAGCTGAATAACCCTAACCATTTTCTGAAACTCCTTTTTCAAAGGATTCTTATGTAATTCAGTGTAGACTAGGTATTGCCATACATGTAGATAGCAGTGTAATATGCTATCCATTAGGTTTTCTCAAGTCTATTGGATATATAATGTTTTAATTTTCTACCCTTTGCTTTATGTTAGACTTTTGCTCCAGTAGAAATGAGAATTTGTATGCTTGTATATGTATTACCTATATAAAAGTCAATAACTTTGTTTTTATTATAAATATTAGGAATGATTTCAATTGTTATTATTTAGAAATTCTACCATTCACTTTTTCTACGCCCAAATTCAGGGACTTCTCTCCTAACACTTTGGCTATAAGATGGACTACTGGTTTTCCTTGTGTTTCTTCTCATTTGCAATCTACTGTGCAAAATGCTTCCAGAGAGATTCTCTAGAAACAAATCAGATCATGCTACCCACCTCCTCCAACCTTCATTGTCGGCCTCCTGCTGTGAAACCAAGCTCACTCTTCCGTAATGGACCCTCCAGTGCACGACAGTCTATTTGTAGTTGCTTATGCTATACATTTACTCCTCCATGCTTCGCTTTGGAACAGCTGGTTCACCTCTGATCAACTTGGCAAACTCTATGCTGGCCTCCTCATCAGAATAAAGTGATCTTTTCTTTGTGGCCCCATGGCCACTGGCTTTTATTCTATTCCACTCTTCTATATTTTATATTAGTAGTTTGTCTGAAACACACCTGAGTTTGAATCTTGCTCTGGCCCGTCCTAGCTGAATACCTTTGAACAATTCATGTGTTCTTTCTCAGCAACAGTCTTATAATCTTTAAAGCTGACATAATAATACCCACCTTTGAGCAATGTCTGCAGGATTAAATGAGATATACAACACACATTACTAAACCCTGTTCTCTTCAACACTGATTCTCATGTATCTGGATCACCTGGAGGGATATTCATGAGTGCAGATTTCTGGAATCCCAGCTCTACTGGGTCAGAATTTATGGACAGAAGAATCAGAATTAAAGGGTACATCTGGTGGTTCTGACACTGGTGGTCCTCAGATCATACTCTGAGCAACACTTCCCTAAGTTATGTACCCTTTCAGAGGATAGACTGTGTCTCCTTAACATCCCCTGAGTGATGGTCTCCTCCTTACGTTTCTTCTTTGTTCCATCTGGCTACCACCCAGAAGCCTGCTGATGGAATTGGCTCCCTGAAATCCCAGAGGGAGTATAGGATATAAGTCCAGGTTGAGCCACAATCTGCTTAAGAATGAGTGGCCATAGCATAGAGTGACCAAACATAATGCGGTTAGAATAATTCTCCACTGACCGAAGAAAAGGAGGAAAATTCTAGGGTTATCCTGGTGTCAGAGGCTCTAGGGAAACAAGTACTTTACATACTTAACTGAGAGAGGCTTAGCTTTTGAATATGTCACTTCTTTAGTTTTGACATCAAAAGGATGGCAATTCTATATTGGGGAAAATAACAGGATTTACATGTCACCCTTACTCTGTGGGCTTATCTCATATTTTTATCATTTGGGCTTCTATGGTATTGGCTTTACTGGTGTCTTTCTTTTTTCATTCTTCCCTCCCTCTCTCCCTTATTTTTATTTCTCAAGAAAATATGAAAGTTTAAAAGTGCTTGAAATATTTTAGGACTTCCAAACTTGAATAGTGTTTCTAATACAATTCTGTTGACTAGAATTTTGACTTCCAGTGTTAGGAAACGTTGCAGCCCAAAGTGTTGTAACTTTTAGCTACAAATTAAGCTTGAGGCCTCTCTCATAACGTGGACTATTACTTAACGACATAGGTACTAATAACTAATCCACTTGTTGCTTTTTATGCTGAGAATCTCAAAAGACCTGAAGACCAAATATTATCTGAGAAATACTTCTAATTGAGAATGAGGGTCTGTGGTAGGAAAACTGCAACTAACCAGATGAATGACCTTGATAAAGTGAGGCCACTTCTGTGGGCCTCGCTTTTCTTATAAATAAAGGGGAGTGCTCCCCGATTCGTGTCCAGTTCTGAAGTTCTATTGTTGTAAAGCTGCACAGGAATCCTGCTTATGGGACTGAGAGCCTCTCCACATTTTCATCTTTAGAGCACTGAACTGATAGAGGATAGAAAGTGAATCTGAATTATACCTTAATAGGCATGATTCTCCAATAGGGGCAGGAGTGTACAGAAGTAAACAGGGGATACTTGAGGCCACAGTGTCAACTAAATCAAGAGATTTGAAGAGAAACTGCATTACTTTACATTCAAAAGAAAAATCACAGATATATTAAGGGAAAGTAGGAAATACCTTCTTGAAAATCTAAAGCAAAACTTCAGTGACAAGCTCATACCATGTTACTCGGGCTTTGTTCTATCGTTGGGACTTGTGTGTTCAATCCTTTGTGTTCAAACACAACTCCTTTGTGTTTCTTAAGGGTGACTTGGAGGAAAAGGTGGCGAGGCACCATTACGTCCTCTGAGTACTCGTGAGAAGGAAGAGAGCCCTTAAATATTAGGTTGGAAATACAGTTACCAAATTAGAGTCAAGACTGATGATCTTATCTTGTGTTGGAAACTGCTGAGATGTTAGCTGCAGAGGAAGTCTGTTCAGAATCCATCCGATTTAGCCTTGCCCTTCTGGGCAGTGTGGGCATCAGAGAAACAAATGTCTTGATTCTAATTATAACTTCTGGTTATACAGCATCAGTAACACATTTCTTGGTGCTCTAAGCTGGGCAGCAGATTGGAAAGCCAAACTCAGAAGATATTCTTTGGGGAGCGGAAATGATGGGACACAAGGGACATGCAAAATGGGGCAGAATGGCTACTCCTGCTCCCATACAGCACTCCAAGGTGGAAATTGGAAACCTGCCTCAGAATAGAGGTGAGCAGCATTCTGGTTCGTTTATTTTGTGTCTCTCTGTTGGTCATATGGTCTAATCTTCTAGGGAGTGGTTTGCAAAGTCCTCTTGCCCAGCCGGGTGTGGCTCAGAGGTTGAGCATTGACCTAGGATCCAGGAGATCATGGTTCCATTCCCAGTCAGGGCACATGCCCAGGTTGCAGGCTCAATTCCCAGTCAGGGACATGCAGGAAGCAGCCAATCAATGACAACTCTCTCATCACTGATGTTTCTACCTCTCTCTCTCCCTCTCCCTTCCTCTCTCTGAAATCAATAAAGATATATATATATTTTAAGAGTACAAAGTCCTCTTAACAGCATAAACCCTTCTCTAAATCAAATCTTCTGTAGGAGCCTCATACACAACCCAGATGAAAGCAGAGTTGTTCTGACTGGAGGGAAGGTGTGGGTGGTTGTGGTGGGGTGGGCAAGTGCATCCTGGCCTCATCTTCCCATACCTATCTTCTTAGCAACTCAGAAGCACTCTGGGAGACAGGCTCCTCTAAACAAAACTTCAATATCAATGTATTGGAAAAATAGTCATTGTCACAGAGAGAGATTTCTAGAGTAGCAGTCATTTGAGTTCTGTCTCTGTAATCATTACAAATTTGGGTCTGAAAACCAACTTATCATCTGTAAGTGCTGCGACCTTTGGCACATTACCCCTCTAAGCCTCAGGTTCCTCATCTGTAAAATAAGGCTCATAATTGTATTCTCCTAACTGGGTTGATAGGAGAATTAAAAAGGTAATGTAGGTAACACACATAGCAAAGACCTTGGCTCAAAGTGAATGCTTGAGATGTGGTTATTACTGTTCCTATCACAAATATTGCTCTGATTATGAATATTATCTCAACAACAAAACTGAGCAGAAGAAGTTGACAAGAGTCTGCATTGGGAAAGATGCAGGTATGATCTGGAGGCAGGAAACCATGATCATTAATGGTGACTGCCCTGGCAAGGTGCTGGAGGGAGTGATAGACCTCGGGCCCTGCCATCCTCACTTAAGGGGAGGTGGACATCTTTGCCTTCCTCCCATATTTCTACATAAGGAGATGCTCTTATATGTATGGAGAATAAAATGGGATATTGGGGAACCTATTCCAGAACCACCACAGTGGCCCCAAATATTTCTAGTACAAGATGATACATTTTCTCTTCCTCTCTGAGGCTTCTGAGCAGGTGTAATGTCAGGAGGCAGACCAAAATCAATGGTCCTCAGAAGAGCTCAGAGGATGGAACTGGAGGCACAGGCCTGACCTTTGGACTCTTTCTTTCTGTGTGCTGGATGACAGGAAGTCACCCCCACCCTTAGAGGTCCAAGTTGAGCCAGCAGTACCAGGCCCAGGGGGAAGGAATACAAGAGTGGGCAGCGTTCTCTGAATATTTTCAAAGGTCTAGTTCAGCTCCTCATGGCCAGAGACTAAGGGCTGGAGCTCTAAATAGTATTGTGTTCATTTTGCTGTGCCATACATCATTAAGGATTCAAGAGCTGAGGCAGAAGGCCACTAGGTAGAGATTTAGAGGTTCAAGATCCAAGCTGGTCCCGTAACATGAAGGATGTCTTCTACTGAAGCTCTGTGGCCACCCTTATCCCATATTCAGGTGACCACATGCCACTCCTAAAGCAAGCACTTACCAGGACTCCTCAAGGGGAATGTGGCTTGTGATCTCATGTGACTATCCTGTACATCAGGCCACAATATGTGTTTTCTTGCTCCTACAGACTTCATCATTGGGCCTCAGAAAACAACTGAGCTTTTACATAGCCCACTTCATTTTCCAGCAGGGCCACATGTCTTCTCTCGTCGAGGAGCCCATCAATACAATACCTGAAGGCAGCCTGGAGGAAGGGGCACTCCTCAAGGCGGCCATGGGGTCACACTCATGTGGGAGTGAGAAGCCCAGGCGACAACTCTTATTACCAAGTTCATGTTTCCTATGCTTACGTGATGTGTTCATTTGTTTTTAATTCTACTCTTTCAGCCCTTCTATGCCCATCCTGCTCTTCCCACTGACTCTAACTAGAATCTCTCACTTGAACACGCCAGGAGTGTTCCCACCTCACTGCCTTCGCCCTTCTCCCTCCTGCCCGAGTGTTTCTTCCCCGAAGATGAGCATGGCATTCACTCTCCTCTCCTCCAGACCTGACACATAGGCCACCCTCCCAGGGCTGTCTTTTCTGGCCACACTACTGAAATCTGCAATCCCTTCCTCAGACCCTCCATCTCCTATCTCACATCACCTTGGCCCTGCATCTACCTGACATACGTCATCTGTTCCTGTTCATCATGTTTCTGTCAGTCTCCTCCATCAGCACAAGCTCCACATGGGCAGAGACTCTGGTCTGTTTGATCACTGCTGGGTCCCCAGCACCCAGAAGAGTGCCCTGCACAGAGTAGCTGTTCAATAGGTATTTGCACAATGCATTAATTCTACTTATGGAAATCCTGTAATCGATGCAATGGATCTATCCAGCAGAGGTGCTGAGAGCTGAAGAACAACCATGTAGTCAAAAACCCACCCAAAGGGAGGGGCGACGAGGAGGGAGATTTGACTGAGCTCTAAACAAAACTCACACCACCAAAGGCCAAAGCTTTGCCTTGAACTCCATGCCCCTTTATGCCTGGTTTCTGTGTAAGATTTTGTGGAAATTTTAGAGAGAAGAGAAAGCAGAATCTCCTCAGCTCTGACACCAAAGGGCCAGATGCATTAGAAGCTGAAAGGCAGACACACTGTAGCTCACCCGCTCATTCCCTCTGGTATCAAGTGTTCCAGCTCTTAAGTTTTTAATCTTGACAATGTAAAGATTTTGCTGTCCTTGCCAGGTGGTTGTAAGAAAAGATGAAATACTGTATGCCAACAAGTGTTTTTGAAAAATCACAGAGACATTATCATTGTTTCCCCATGCCCTAAGCCGTCCGCTCCCCCCTCTGCCAGGGGCTTGGCCTTGGGGTCTCCTCAGCTTAGCTGCACTTACTGTGGCCAGGAGGGAGTCCAAGAAGCTGCCAGAAAAGACAGCGCCCGTGGAAAAGGAAGTGGTGAGATGTAGGCTTGTTCCTGGGAGGTGCCCTTCCATTCCACCAAGCTGCTCAATAAAGTGGATGTTGGAAGGATTTTCTGCAAGACAAGACAGGCAAACAGGAAAGGCAGGCAGCAAGTTTAAGACTATATAACTACCTTAAGAATATAAGCAGACCAAGGGGTGCCCACCAGGTCAAAGGGTTTGAGGCCTCCTTTGGGGTCAGTGTGGGATCTGCCCCTACGTCAGTATATTATTTTTCCCCCAAGTACTTTCTTCATCCCTAAAAGACACAAATCCTCCTTGGGCACCTTCTCCGTCAAGGGAATATCCTCATACCTCAGGCTCAGTTTCTTCATGCAAGTGTCCTGATTGTCACCCTTATATAATTGATCTTTCAAACCAGGACCCCTTTGGAAGTTAAAGGGGGTAGTCTCAGTAGGCATAAATAGGAACATACGATCACTCCAGTTATAGTCTTTTTCATAACATTATGCCACAGATGGCTTGGTATTTACTTGGGTCCTTAGATTATCTGGGTCCAGAATGAGTTAAAGCAGTACCTGGCAAAATTTAAAGTACGTATGAATCACCTGGGGATCTTGTTACACTAGAGATTGATTCACTGGGCCTAGGGTGGGGCCTGAGAGTCCACACATCCAACAAGCTTCCAAATGCTGCTGCTGCTGCTGGTTCATGGATTACAGTTTGAGTAGCAAGGGCTCCAAAAATTATCCTCATTGAGGTCAGTGTAGCAGTGGCCATGTTACCCATTGGCCCAGGGATGCAACTCAGACCCAGAGAGCAGCCTCTGAAGTGAATGGAACTGGTCCTTCCAGGGAGGGCCAGCAGAAGCACTGCCTGCCTTTGTTCTAAGACTGTTATTTGAAAAATGTTTGCACCCAGAATAGCATTGGAAGGCAGAGCTGATGTCTCCCCCCGAGCGAAGAGAAGGCATGCTTACTTCCCATGATAAGATCCCGGTTTCTCTTTTGTGAAGCAATCCATAGTGGGTACAGGTACCACTTGGCCCTTTCCATGCCACCCGGTGGGAACCAGCACAAAATGACACTCTGGCTATTGCTGTCGTTGTATGTAATGAACTATTCTTTGTCTCTGACCCAGTGGTTTTGTATCTTCTGCCAGCATCCATGACACCGTCGCAGGCTGACTTGTTAGTTTGCAAGTAGCTTAAAGTCTTAGACCCTTCACAGCTCTTAGACCCGTCACATACAGATCAAAACAAGTCTACTAGACATATAACTCAAAATACATTCCTAACTAAGACTGGGTTATTCCCTCATTCTTTAAATTATTCCTTTGTAAGTTTGAGGGAGTGATATACTGCTAGTATTAATGAATCATTTTCTTCCAAGAATTATATAGTTTTATAAAAGAGGAGCGAGTTCTGACTAGTATCACCCCACATTTCCTATGCACACACCATTCCCTCTTCTTGCATTCCCAACCCTCAACATGCACACATATCCCAGGAGCCCTTGTCCAAATCCTGCTGTGTCATGTTAAGCCCAAGGCCTCACTCTCCCTGGCATTTTCCTGGAGGCCACTGTACACTCTGTACCACAGTGCTGGCAGTCAGAGCTGCAGCTCCCATGTCACTGTGACCCTTTCCAGCCAGCCAAAGAACAAAAAACAGTGATCTGGCAGGTGATTTGTTAGGCTAATCTGACAAGGGCGGCCTGGTGCCAGAAAGTCTTCAGTTGAACAAAGCTGTAAGTCCCTTGAGAGTGACCAGGTGCACTTCTGGGCCAGTGAGCACCTGACTGGTTTCCTCCCAGCCACTCTAACTTACATTACAGTCCTCTAGTCAGTGTCCTTAGTGTAGCTACACCTCAGGGTTAGAGATGGTTCAAAAGGGTAGAAAAATAAAATTAAAATGTAAGTAAAAACTGCAGCTGACAGCTAAAGGGTAGTTACAAATAGGCTGACTGGTACCACTCAGGCTCAAGAGAGCTGAGATCCTTAAAGCTGAATTTGAAGAGCTGTTGCTCCAGGATCCATTGTGAATAGACTATTTTCTGTCTGCTGCACTGTCATTCCTAGATCATGTGGTGGTTTCACCTATTGAGCCCGCTCCATGTCCCGTTGTTTCCTTTCTGGGACTAAGAGATCTGTTCATCTGGTTTTGTGTAAGTCCCTCAGCCTAGATACTCAAAATCATAAAATGCCCACTAAGAATGTTGCTATACTACAGAGTCCAGTCAAATCACATGCCTAGGACCAGCTTACGGATGTCTTATAGTTGGTCCAATCTGTGTGAAAGGCACCGTTCCCCTCTTTGGACTCTTCCCCTTCTCTCATCAGTTGTTACCAGTATTAAATCCCCTGGTGCCTCACTAACATCCCCTCCTCCCCAATGCACAGAGGCACCTTCCCTACCCTGCTTTCTGCTCCTAGAGCTCCTCACATCCAGGAACGTTTCATAATGTACACTTCCCACAAGATGCTGGTGAGAGATAACAGCTTATTCTGATATTTCTGCATCCGGTATTTCCTTTTTAAAAGACCATTACTCAGGACCTGAATTAAGATGACACAAAGGAGACACCGGGACACAAAATTGAATTACCCTGAGAGTGAGTGTCTCCACACCTTGGTGGCTCACTTACCTCATCCTAGTCCCGGCCCTGTGATCACTATGGGAAAGGAAGGCTCTGGACTGAAAGTCCCAGGGTGGGTAGAGAAGTTGGTTCTGGTTTAGGAAGATCCGTTTAGGCAGCCTTCAAGTCCATGTCCCCTCCCATGGGGGATTCCCTCTGAATAAGAGTGGAGCACCTGCTGGTCTCCCTCTCCTGGTAACTGGGAGAGCAGAGAAGGCAGATGGTATTTCTGCACCCTGACACCCAGACACAGCAGGCTCCACCGGATGATGTCACCAACCCAGTAAAAAAACAAAAGCCCAGTGTAATGTCCCATCAAGCACTTAATGCTCTCTGGGCCCCATTCTACTGCCTCAGTCCTTGGACTGTGGGTTTTATAAAGAACCCTGGGACATCAATTATGGATCCTACACATTTCTCCCTTGAGTTCTGTCCTTGAAACAGAACTTACTCAGTTCGGTGAGGATGGGGATTTTTCGGTATTTTGAGCGTTCAGCGTCACTGGACCACGATGAGGTCCTATCTGTAGACACAGATAACAACAAAGAACAAAAGAGATTGATAAATGCAAACAAAGGGGCTTGCAAAACACAACAAGGATGGAGAAGCACACCTTGTAACTTGGGGCTTTGTCTTTATAAAATTCCTCTCAGGGAGGAATTTTAAAGTTCCAAATCCAAAATCCTTTTTTATATTTAGAAGAACAAACTATTTGGGCATCCTCAGCATCTCATTTTGAGACATAGTGTGTGTGTGTGTGTGTGTGTGTGTGTGTGTGTGTGTGTAGGCAAAGCTCTCCCACTATTTGCTTATTGACATCATAAGTAAAATATGACTGTCTCCATGGCATGGTAGGGCTGGGTGATGGCTCAGGCAGGCAGTCTCTCTCACGCATCCATTTGCTGCAGAACTTCTAGGAAACTGAATGCAAGGGCTGTGCTGCTCAGTGCGTGCATTTGGTAACATTGCAAGTGGGTTCCGGCTGCTAGCTGCCTCTTAGAGACCTCCTCTGGGTCCAGGCACTATCCACGTCTTCTTTCTTCTTCAGCAGAACCGGCTGCCTCCCATCTCTGGTTGGCTTGCTCCAACCCAGGATGCCTGGGGCATTCCTTAAAGGCGGGTGGCTTGTCACTTGGTGCCTTTGCCCTTTGCGCTCTTGTACAGACAGGTTTCCCTCCCGCGTTAGGAGGTGAGGCCCTTCATTTATCTCTGTGGGCCTTGACTCCAAGGGAGCCGACGCACAGCAGTGGCCCCAAACGGCCTTATCGGGCAGTGAGCTATGAAGAGTTTCAAAAACAAGTATGACCCCAGAGTTTGGGTCTCCGAGTTAAACTAAAAACAAAACAAAACTGTAAAGAAGGAAAAGGGAAGCTGGGGTCCAGTTAAAGAAACAAACACACACACAACTATCTCATTGGAAGTTATGCTTTAAAATTGTTGGTTGCCTTTCGTAACTATGCAAAAGCACTGTGAAAGTTAAAAATTCTCCTTTTAATTAAAATTCCACGCTGCCTTGAAAGAGGGTGAAAGGTTTGGAGGGCCCTCTGTTTACTGAGCCAGATAAGTGGTAGGGAGGGAGAGTGAGATGTGAAATGAATGGAGCGAGCAGGTAGGTAGGAGAGCTTGAGGGACAGACAAAAGGAGGGTGGTGGGAACTCTGCCACTGAGATGGGACGGGGAAAAGAGAAAATCCAGAGGGAGATTTCTGTCAGAGAAAATGCTATGCCCTGCAACATTTACTGCCTGTTCCATCTCCCCAAGAAATAGTCAGTAAAACAGCCACTTCTTGTTAATGCAGAAGTAGAGGTGAATGTATTTCTGATAGCCACTAAAATTCTGAGTCACACTTCAGGCAGGATTCGGGGTAAAACCTGAAGCTGCCCAGGAAGAGCACAATGCACTTGGTTCCAGGTGGAGCTGGCAGTGACTTTGAATGTAGGGAGGGAATGGAAGCCCAGAGGGCTAACAGCCCACATAGATGCTTCAGGGGAAAGTTGGGCCTTTGGGGTATCACGTGGAGTGAAGCAAGTCAGATCAAGGGCAAAAGCCACACGATTCCACTCATATCAAGAACAGAAAACAGAAAACCCACAACAGCAACAAGAAAAAACACACGAACAAACAAAACCAAAACAAACTCACAGGTACAAACAACACACTGGCAGTCACCAGAGGGGAAAGGGGCCGGGGGTGAGATGTGTAGTGAGAAACAGAAACTGGCTTCTGGAGGTAAGCATGCGATAATGCATACAGATGCTGAATTACGCTGTAGGCCTGAAACTTATGTTATAAACCAGATACCCCAGAAAAAGCAAAACAATGAAAGGAGGTTAACACCAATGGCTAGAGCTCAGCTATCCCAATGCACTGGTCAACCTTAGTTCTGATGAATCTGAATACCTTAAACTGGTTTTCTTTAAAAGAGACCTCTGGGACTCCCAGGACGCAGGGAGCCCTGGGGGAACTGAGGCTCCGCCTTGTTCTCAGAACTGTGCCAGATGCTTTATCTGCCGTGTGTCCTTTCCTCTTCTTCTTTCCTCTCTTTCTTCTACAAATTTTTAAAAAGCATCTGCTCCATGCTAGGACTGTGGAATCCCTGCCCCGGTTATATGCCACATGTTGCAAATACAAAATGTTTTTAGATAGTGACGTGTTCCGTAAAGAAAAACAAACTTTAGGGGCTAGTCATTGAGTTGGGGAGGTGACTTTAGAGAGGGTTTGAAGAGAGACTTCTCTGATTTGCAGTGGGGTCCTCAGAGGTGAGAAAAAGCCATCCAGGCAGAGGGAATGGGAAAAGGGACCTAAGGCAGGAAAGAGCCAGTAGGGACAGGATGAAGTGGAAGAAAATTCAAACTCCCTACCAGCCTTCAAGACCCTATTTTCCCATAATTGTCATGGGTCATCACTATAGGGCTTAAAGTGGGGAACTGACATGATCTGATAAATATTTGTAAAAAATCCCTCTGGCTGCTGTGAGCAGTACAAGCTGTAGGGAGATAAGAATTACACCACAGTCACAACAAATCTGTGAATCAATATAGTCAGATCGCATTTGAAGAAACCAACTTAGGGTTTGCATAGCTTGCCCAAGATTAAATGGCTTGTAAATGATGGATGGTTTTTCAGGCCCAGATCACCAACTTCAAAGTCTATGCCCTTTTTCGGGACATTTTGTAGCCCTATTAAAATACATAAGGTTTGAAAAAAATATATATATATGTATACATGCAAGGTTTGGCTGACATTTTCAGTAAAATAGTGAGCTCAGTTTCCCTCAAAGGGGTAATCCTCCTTTGAACCCCATTTTCTGATTCCAGTCCCCTCTAAAAGGGAGCTTGGATTATCCAGACTTTCGAAGTGAAATGTTCTTATTGGATACAGACATGCCCACATTGGCTGAAGTGGCTGCTTGAGTATCTGCTTCTGACACCAGCTGAAGGACAGCAGCTGGGTTTCTGCCTCAGCTCCATTTCTTCTTGTGCAGCAATGGTTGATCTGAGCATGTGTCAGATCATAGTCTGAGTACGTTTTACCTCTGTCAATATTTCTGCTAGCTTATCGTACACAGTATTGTACCTAAAATCTCCCAGGCTGGCAGGGTGCTATTACAAAAGAGTGCTTAATTGTATACTACTACTGTACATTTAAATTTCAGTAGCATATTAAGTTGTCAGACTTAATTACCGTTATATGTTTAGATTATGCCACAGATTATTTAGTTCAGCACCTAGGTTTGCCAACCTGTTCTCCTTGTGATGTGACAGGGCAGTAATTAGAGCATCCCTGGAAGACCTAAAGTTTTCCATGGAGATGGCCAGGAGCCCGGTATTGTTACTGATCCTTCCGAGGTTCTGTCCTCTGCTGTCCCCACACCCCCGACGTCCCTTGGGGAATCACTGTATGGAACAGCTTTGGTGGTCCTAAATGGGCTTCTCATGTAAGTTTATCATGACTGTGAAGGTACAGAAAAGCCCACTGAGCCCAGAAAAGGCTCATCAGATGTACTAGGGAGAGATTTCTGATCTCAGTACTATTGGCATTTTGAGCCAAAACGTTTTTTGTCATGCAGGGCTGTCCTGTGCATTGTAAGATGTTTAAGCAGCATCTCTGACCTCAGCCCACTAGATGCCAATAGCATCCCAACTAAGTTCCAGACATTGTCAGATGACTGCTGGGGGCAAAAATGTCCCTTGTTGAGAACAACTGTCCTAGAGAAAGGGAAAGAAAACTGCCCATCAGTTAGTCTTGTGTTGGGGCTCAGTGTGGGAGCTGAATTTCATAATCCTTTACACTGTCACCTCTCGGAGGTGGGTGTTGCCATTTCCAACTCTTATGGCGCAAGAGGATATCACCGTGAAATGAGAAGAGCGGTTGAGAGAACCAAACAGGCTTCTCTGCAGATTGGGGATTCTGTATATAAACTTTAGGTAGATTCCCGTAATGCTAGAGTAATTGGTGAGCTTTCTGAGTGACGGTCCTTTGCTATTCACATGTGCTCAGAATGTGACTTTACTGATGCTATGGCACCAGGTAAGCAGACCGCATGACTTTTGTTAGGTAGCTCAGTAGGACCCGTTTGCACTGCTATGTCCCCACCACACAGTGGTTATAGAATCCATATAAGAAATGGTGGCCTGGCCAGGCGTGGCTCAGCGGTTAAGCGTCGACCTAGGATCCAGGCGATCAGGGTTCGATTCCCGGTCAGGGCACGTGCCTGGGTTGTGAGCTCGATGAATGACTCTCTCCATTGATGTTTCTCTTTCTCTCTCTCTCTCCCTCTCCTTTCCTCTCTCTGAAATCAATAAAGATATATTTTATAAAAAAAAAAAGAAATGGTGCCAGGCCTGCACCCTAATCTTTCTCTAAATCTTCCCTTTTATCTCTGGGGAAGAACCTATTCATGCTTCATGGTGATGCAAATACAGGGGTGGGCAAAGGTAGGTTTACACTTATCATGCAAATAAATGATACAACAATTAATAGATAAGAATACAAGAATAAACTGTGATTCCCGTACTCACAACTGTAGCCCTCTTGCCCACTGTACTTTGACGTCCCCCCTTCCACCCGCTTCCCTCCCTCCTCTACCCCCTCCTCCCAGTGTGGGGGCGAGCCGCTCCTTTAGGGGCAGCCTGCTAGCCTGGAGCAGAGCACAGGACGCATCCTACAGGATCATGTGCTTTTGCTGGACGGGTAAGTGAAAGGATGCAAATCACTGGATATAAAGGAAACCAGAATTGAAAAATGATAGGTTTGTATCTTTCTAGTTTATATAGGATGTAAGATTAAAACAGAATAATAGGAAGGACAAGTCACCAGATGATTAACTAAGTGGCTTATGACGCTGTCAGTTTACGCCGGGCTTTTACTGGGTGGGCATTTTCGCGTGTATATTGATGATACTGCCTTTAGAGTGATTAGTTCTCTGCCCAGTTATAGAGAGTTGCAAGTGTGATGCATACAGACACCCACGCATGCGGTACACTCACCCTCCCCCCC